CGTCTGCAGTGAGATTGTAAAAAGAGCTCACCTAGTCTTTTTTATTTTCCCGTTTCTAGTGTAAGAAGTCTTTAATCAACTACTTGTCTTTATTTGAATATCATACTTCTTCAAATGTTCTCCAAATGTCCCTGGAGACATGCTTTCTCTTCCACAATCCAAACATCCTTACATTTCCTCTGTCATTTGCCCTTACAGCACCGTTTCTCCCACGAGCAGCGCTGTTGACATTACGGGTAGGGTCAGTGTTTGTTGTGGGAGCCCTCCTGTCCACTGGAGAATCGTTAGCCGTCTCCCTGCCAGCGTTGCACTAGATGCCCCCCAGCCAGTGGTGATGATCAAAACCTGTCTCTAGTCATGACTGAATGTCCCCTTGGGAATGAGGGGCAAAGTTGCCCCTGACCGAAAACATAGCCATGAAAGGATATGGTCTCATTCTCTCTCTCTCTGCCCCACCCCCACCCCCATCTCTTTCATACACACATTAGATTTTACATTCTCGATGAGGAAAGAGTTTTATAAAATGTTGGTTCTATCTCATTAAAGGAAAGAAACAAGACAAAACAAAGCAAAACATTTTGGTATTTTTGTCTCCATCATGTCTGTTGTTTCACTATGTGCTTTGCGAATCATCCTTCTGATCCCGATTGATCGATCCTTTTAGACCTTTGGAGGGTCCCTGGTGGCTGAGTGGTTTCACACGGGCCTGTCAACCAAGGCCAGCAGGCTGAAGCCATCAGCCCCTGCACAGAGCACGAGGGAGCTTCTACTCCCATGAAGAGTGACAGTCTCGGAGCCCCACCTGGGCAGTTCTACCCTGTCCCAGAGGGTCACTGTGAGTTAAATCGACTCAATGGCAGTGAGTTTCTTTTTTAAAAAATATTTTTATCAAATAGACTTCTTTCAAGTCACCTTTAGACACAGAGACCTGAGTAGTTCTCTTTTCAATGAAAGGAAAACTATTAATGATTGATAAAGAAAAACACTTTAAAGAAAGACTCATATTTTCTTTGACAAAGAACCTTTCAAAGAATAGGTTCCACATATCTTTGGATGTGTACTCCTTCCCTGTCCAGTCATTCCACCTTCAATTCCCACCAGAATGACTGAACTCCCTTGCTTTCCCTTTGGCATGAACACAGGTACATATAATCCCTAAGCAACAAAATTATGTCGTTCTGCTTGCTTCTGATCTTTTATAAGGGGGATCATACTGTGTGTACTCTGTGTCGTGCTCATTGGTGTTCAGCATTATGTGTGGGATTTATCTATGTTGGCACCTATGATTGTATTTCTTCGTTTTTGCTGCTGTGTAATGTTTCATTGCATGACTCTACAACATTCTATTTATCAATTCTCCTGTAAGTGGAAATTTTGGGTGATTTTCAGTGTTTTTCTATGACAATGTTTTTATGGTCATCCTTAAACTTGTTCCTAGTACATTTTTCAAAGTCTCTGTAGGGTCTATTTCTAGGTGGAAAGCTGCCAAACCATAGGATGTCTGTCACATCAAATATGCCGGAAATTGCCAAATTGTTTCCCAAAGCCCTCGTATTAGCTTGAACCCCCACCGCAGTGTCTGGGGAGTCCTGCACTTCTTCTCCAACACTTGGTATTTTCCAACTTTGAAATGTGTGCCAGTCTGGTGGGTATAAAATGTTATTTCTTTTCATTGAACTTACATTTTCTTGGATGCTTTCCCCCCAAATATCCTTTCATATGTTTATAAGTAATGTATAGCTCTTTTTTTAAGGATAATATTGTCATTCGTGTCATTTGCTTAGATTATTTTTAAAACTTTATTGTCCATTTTTAAATTGGCATCCTCGAGTGGCACAGATGGTTAAGGATCTGAGGTACTCACGTAAAGGAGAGAGGTGCTAGACTTACCCAGAGGCACCTCAGAATAAAGGTCTGGCCATCTACTTCCAATCCACCAGCGACTGAAAATGCTGTGAAGCAGAATTCTACTCTGGTGTGCAGGGAGTCACCATGAGTTATAATCAACTTGATGGCAACTTAAAAAAATCATTTTAATTATTTTAATTAGGAGCTATCATTAGTAATCTCTTGAGGAGTTTGTATGTCTTGAGTATCGTCTCTCAGCATTTAGCTTGGGTTCACCTTTTTTTGCTGTTGCATACTAAGTAATTGCCACTCCTTACAACCCCATGCAATAGGAGAATTACCCCTTCAGGTTTTCTCTGCTGTAATCTTTGTGGATGGTTGCCAGGCTTTCTCCTGTGGAACCACCGCAGGCAGGGGTTCTAACCGCCGGCCTTTCCGTTCACAACCCAGGGGTAACTGCTGGCGTACTACCAGCGGGTCTCTTCTTAATCTTGTCCTGGGACATCTTCAGAGTGAAACGACTTCTTAATGTTGAGGTAGTTGAATTTTCACTTATGGTTTAAACTTTTTTCATATTTATCCTATAAACCATCGAGAAACTGTATGCAATTTTCTAAATGCTTTATAGTTTAGCCCTTTATATTTATAGTTGTAACATCTGCAGTAGATTTTTGTGTATTCTCTGAGGTTGTCTACCTCAGAGACAAACAAGTAATTCTTTTGTTTTTTTCTCCTCAGGAATACCCAATTTTCTTTTCTTTTTTGGGGAGGTCGTTAGAAACATGAATTTTCCAAGACCTTTTTCTACTGCTTTGCCATGTTGCTCTGTCAAATGTGAAGCTTATGTGCACATGTGGATGATGGGTGCTCTGTTTCTCTTTCTTGCCAATACTACACTCACTGAGTTATTCCAGCTTTATAATATCTGCTTATACTGGCCACTTCATGGGAGAAAGATGAAGCTTTCTGCTCCCATAAAGAGCTACAATCTCAGGTAGCTCTGCACTGTCCTACAGGGTTGCAGGGAATTGGCATTAACTCAGTGGCAGTGACATATAGAAATAACTTAAAAAGAAATCTATACATTGCTTTCCCTTACAATTATAACAGTTTCTCATTTGGTCAGCATAAAGCAGAAGCCATAATAGCGAATTACTGTATAAACTCGAGTATAAGCCAAGTTTTTCAGCACATTTTGTAAAATTAGGTTCCTCTGCTGATATTCAGGTCGGCTTATACTCGAGTGTATATGTTATTTATTCAACAGTTCTGAATCTTCTTTATTGATTGGGTCTCATTATATACTGCCTCATGCCAGGACCCTAGTAAAGACTTCATATTACAATGAAAGAAGTATGCTTGGTATCCAAAATGAGATGATCATTGAGCCAATGTGATTTAATGTCTGATGTGAGACACTACTACAGTAAGTGCAGCTTATCTGGTAAGAATTTGCCTAGATCAAACATTTACATAAATATTTCTAATTTCTCCATTATAGTTCCTGTGAATTTTTAAGTCTATCTGTAAGGCAGTTCCTTATGTGAATGGCAGGATACGTTTAGTCTGTTTCATTAAATGCAGTTTTATTTTCAGTGCACTTATTCATCCCAAGTATTTTGCCAAGCAGAAGCGCATTAGAAGAACTAAATATTTACATTAATCCTGGAGTTTTCATTGTAAAAAATATGACTGGATAAAAGCACTTTTGGATATGTAAATAAATAATGATAAACATTTAGTATTAGGTGTTGACATGCAAATATCCTGGTTCCCACGTTTGTGGTAATTATTTTCCCATTGAAAATTTGCTTTATTTATGAGAGAATATTAAATGGATTTACAGGCCTTGTGAGATCATAAATTTTAAATCAAATTATCAATTAGATGTTAGAGAAATCATATTTGAATTAAATTACATTTTTTTTCTGGAAGAAATATTTTAAAAATACAAACCCAATCATTTAATAAAAGTTAATTTTTAAAATTTAAATCATTTTATTGGGGGCTCATACAACTCTTATCACAATCCATATATACATCCATTGTGTCAAGCACATTTGTACATTTGTTGCCCTCATCATTCTCAAAACATTTGTTTCCACTTGAGCCCTTGGTATCAGCTCCTCATTTTCCCCCTCCCTCTCCATTTAAAAGTTAATTTTTTAAAGTACATCATTACAGCAACTTGTATTCATCATGAAACACACAACTATAGAATCTATTGAATAGAAGGATAGGTCAATACAAATTCTGTTGAATCTGTTACCCAGCTTCTTGAACTTCCAATTAGCTAGGTTTCTTTTACTTCTATTAAGGTTATGTTTATTGATATTTAGAGCTTTTCACAAAAAACAAAAGAGCTCACCGCCATTGACTCTATTCTGACTTAGAGCAACCCTGTTGGTCATCTGGGTTTCTGAGACTTTAAGTCTTTACTGGAGTAGAAAACACTGTCTTTCTCACACGGAGCGGCTGGGGATCTTCAGATCACAGCGGAAGGTGTAACCACGACAGCACCACCAGGGTGTAGTGATGACTAAGTAGTCCAAGCTCTACCCGAAGACCTGCTGATCCACTCCTCAAGATCCCTGCCAAGAAACCCCACAGCCAGGTCTACTTTGCTACATGGGGCCACTGAGTTGAAGTTGTCTTGATGGCACCAAACGCCCTTTTAAGCATTGGGGTGTATATTCTTCAAAGGATTGCAAAACCGAGGCATGGATACTATGTCCTCTCTTTCCCCCATCTCTACAGAAGGCAGAAAAAGAGGTGGTGAACATAAATGAAACCACAGGATTTTTATTGATACATTAAGAGTGTTTGTCCCTATCTAGAAACAATTTTTAAAATATATAGTTTGTAAGATATTTCAGAAAGATGACCAAAATTGTTAGCTACTGCAAATTCATTCTTGTCTCAAGACATGATTATGATTCTATTTATTTATATGAATACATACTTTGAGAGAGTGATGAAGACAATAGCAGGACACATCCTGCTATCAGATGAGTATTTTCTCATTTAGTTCCCCTTACCCCAATGTTGCCCATTCAGGTGTATAGGTGAATGCATGTCCATGCAGCCCGATGGCCCTTTAATCAAACATAGTTCAAGATGACATCGTCTGGTAGTCAAACCAGTCACAGAGCCTCAACCTTCAGTTTTTCGATTCGAGAGTTCTTAGTACCTAATTTTAAGTGACTGTGGTTGATGAAGCCCCTTGGTTTAGTGCCCTACGAGAAAAGAGAGTAAACAAAGAAACTTACACTAGCTGAAATATCTCGATCATTTGGAATAACCGATTTTCCTTTTTCTAGTTGCTTGCGGCCAGCCCCCTGTTGTAGAAAATGCCAAGACCTTTGGGAAGATGAAGCCTCGTTATGAAATCAACTCTCTGATTAGATATCACTGCAAAGATGGCTTCATTCAGCGCCACCTTCCAACCATCCGGTGCCTAGGAAATGGAAGATGGGCTCTGCCTAAAATTACCTGCATGAACCGTAAGTGGTACTTTAGAAAGAATGGACAGCCGTGCTATAACCGCTACTAGACATCCTCATTTGACCACTGTGCTATAGGCAGTTTAGGGTATGGAGCAAGTAATATTGTTGTGTTTTTCTTTCTTTCTTTCTTTCCTTCCATGTAGCATCTGCATACCAAAGGACTTATGCTAAGAAATACTTTAAAAATTCCTCATCAGCAAAGGACAATTCAATAAACTCATCAAAACATGATCACCGTTGGAGCCGGAGGTGGCAGGAGTCGAGGCGCTGATCCCTAAAATGGCGAACATGTGTTTTCATCATTTCAGCCAAAGTCCTAACTTCCTGTGCCTTTCCTATCACCTCGAGACGTATTATCAGTTGTTTGGATGTCTGGAACCACTGCCCAATCGTTTTGGATTGCCATGCTTCCCCCAAACATTTGAAATGACTGTTTTTGGCATTCCAAAAAAGAGCAGACAAAAAGAAGGAAAATGAGGGCCGAGGAGAACCATTTCCAGCCGACCCAATTTCTCTTGTTTTCTATTTGCTTCGGGTGCAGACCATGTTATAATGCATACCAGCCTACTGTACTATTTAAAAAGCTCCATTTCAGCACCAACGGCAATGTAAATAAGATGGTTTAATGTTGATTTTAATCCTGTATATACAATAAAAAGTCACGCTGAGGTCAGGCATATTTAATGATGATTATGGAGCCTTGGAGGTCTTTAATCATTGGTTGGGCTGCTTTTATGTAGTTTGTTTAGGCTGGAAATCGTTTCACTTGCCCTTTTATATTTCAGCAAGACTGAGGACGCCTTTTCTTGGACAACTAACAGTCGGGCTGGGGGTCACTGCACTCTGCCAAAGGGGCAGTGTGCTTCCACGCCATGTCGCCGATGGGCTCCTGATGGAACTAGGGACTACCATGCAAGTTCTTCTTTGCTGCATTCCTTTTATCTTCAACTAAAAAAAAAAAGGGCCTGAATGGGGGAACTTTTCTAGAGCCAAGAGCATTTTTTAGGGGTCAAAGTGCTAATTATTAACTCAACCAGGTCTACTTTTTAATGGCTTTCGCTACATTAACTCACAAGGTCACAGATCAATGCATTTCAAATGGGTACAGACCCAGGACTCTGGAGGGCTGGGGAGGGAGGGGGTTGTTAAACAACGACGACGACACATGCAAAGAAAGGAATTTTGTATATATAACCATTTTAATCTTTTATAAAGTTTTGAATGTTTATGTATGAATGCTGCAGCTGTGAAGCATACATAAATAAATGAAGTAAGCCATACTGATTTAATTTATTGGATGTTATTTTCTCCAAGACCTGAACATGGACCTAGTGTGCTAGGTATTTTCCAGTGTTAGCTTTTATCCTTCCCTCACATTGTCTGGAACCGTATAATGTAGGTACTTTGTCCCTGATTGAGTAATGTGATGGCTAGGATGCATCAAGTGTTTCTTATTACAAGAGTGGAAAAGTGTATCGCTTCCAGCAAACGGTGTTCTCGTCCTCTAAGCAAGGAGCATAGAAGTAGATAGAGTCTCGGCATTTCTTCCCGGTAGGTGGAGTGTGTGTTGAACTTTCTCCCTATCTCTTCCCACTCTGTCTCACCCCTTTCTTTGCGTAAAGTAACTGCTGAAGATGACTTTGAATCATTATCCACTCAATTTAATGTTTAAAGAAAAGCCTGTAATGGAAAGAAGGCATTTAGCAGTCTTGCCCTAATTTAACTTGGAGCGACCTTCAGGAGGGTAGACCAGAAATAAAATCAAAGTAGGGAAAGAACAAACTGGTTGACTCGGTGCTGCTGCTTTTTCAGGAAACCACCTGTAGCTCAGAAGGAGCAACAGTAACCACAGCCATGCACAGTGTTTCCACAGCAAGTCTCCTCCCTCGACCGACCGACGACGCATTAACTGTAACCCAAATGTTAAGTGTTCTAGAGCATAGACAACACTGTGTTGACCTAATCAGGTTATATATTTTTCTCTCTTTTCCATTACAATGCACATAATACTTTCTTGTATTTATATTATAACTTGTATAGTGTACAATGTGAATGACTTTTTTTGTGTGTGCGTGAATGAAAATCTAAAACTTTGTAACTTTTATATCTGCTTTTTGTTTCACCAAAGAAACCTAAAATGCTTCTTTTACTATACCATGACTGGTCTGGTTATTTACAACTTCCAAGGTATGAATATGCACTCACAGTTTTACATTCGGCTCCCATCACAGAGAAGCGATTGGCTTGGATGAAAAGGTTTTAGGTTAGTTAGCAGAGAGATGATTCTCTCTCTACCTGAAACGAGGGGTGGGAATTGAGAGTAGTTCTCAAGGCATTCTCAGCTCCATACCTGAGCACTGCTCTTAAATAGGAAATAAACCTGAAATCGATGACGTGGTAGCCCACATTTACAGAAGATGTGTCATGCATTATACATCAAGCTTGTGAAAGAGGTGATGTTGCTGTCTGCCAGAGAGAGAACGGGCATAACACAAGCCTTCTGTCCAAGACCACAGAGCCATGTGTGTGGTGGACAGAGAGACCCTGGCTCGAGAACCTGCATGCTATTTTCAAGAAAAATAAGATATACTATGCTCTTGATTTTTATACATTTAAGGAGCTTAAGTCACTCTTGAGAAGACCATATACCAGAAGAAATGAAAAGCATCAAGTTTACATCCATCTAGATACCCCTCCATGCCCTCATTGTTTATGCAGTCATTATGGATTAAGCACTGGAGGGTTGCCAAGCAATGAATGGGCCAGGGCACATCTTCACTCACATGTTTTTATGTTGTATGCATCCCACTGGAATTATTTTAGGTAACCTTCTTTTCAATATCTTTATTGATAATCTGGAAAACCAAAATTTGTCTGAGTTCTGTAATTGTGTAGCAGACATATTAAGGACAAAGGTAAGCTGAACGATTTTGAGGTTTCTTCCTTGGAATTCCATAAATATATTGGAAGTTGGGCAAAAATAGGTGCAGAAAAGATGGGATACATTTTTTTCCTAAGCTTTTAGTGTTTGTCATATCTTTTACATAGCTATAAGTGGAAATGACCCAAGGGGAATGCAAGATTTTGTATTACTCCCACATAGCCGCCCGTATTAGACATTTGTAAATTCATCAAATATTTATTGAGCCAGGCACCAATGATAGAATCTTTGGGACGTTCTATGACCCAGCTTAGGGAAACAGAATAAAAAGCTTAAGAAAGTTCGCACTAAAGGTCAAATAAAAGATGGGTTTACATCTTTTATTAATGGCAAACTGGCAGGCCATAGGGGGAAATGTGCCCTTCCTCTAGGGAACTATTGAAGAAGTGGTGTCCAATGTAACTGACATGGAAAAGAGTTGAGAGAATTTGGAGGGATCATTTTAATGTTATAGTAAGTGTACCTTTGCTGATCATAAATGAAGATTCAATATGGTACAGGTAATAGCGACTGGATTTGCGGTGAGCTAATTTACTGAGTAGAACAATGTACATGCTTGGCTGCCAACCGCAGAGTGGAGGTTTAAGCCTACCAGAGGCACCTTGGAAAAATCAAACTCACTGGGATTGAGTTAATTCTGATTCATAGAGACCCTGTAGAATGAAGTAGAGCTGCCCTTGTGGGTTTCTGAGATTGTAACTCTGCAGGATCGGGAAGCCTCGCCTTTCTTCCGTGGAGCAACTGGTGGGATGAAACTGCTGATTTACATTCAGCAGCATGACCCAGAATCCACTATGCCACCAGGGCTCCTTTTCCATGATTTTTTTATAAGTCCTAAAATACATTTGAGAAGTTATGAACTCTTCATTCTTTAAGTTGCTGAGTAAAATTTCTCATGTTAAATGGAAGCAATTAAAAAAAAAACAACCCTGTGGCATGATTTAAATATTGACCTTAGAAAATAAAGAGTATTACACTGTGAAATATATTCAATGAATCTAAATATCATAGTTGTTTGTTTTCACCATCATCCTTTTAAAATCTAGTTGAAAAAATCATCTATTAAAACAGAATTTTTACATTTTTTTCTTTGGAATTGTTTTCTTTTCAGTTGCCCCCCTTCCCCCCGCCCCCCCCATCAATACTTTATCTCAATATATACATCTATATGTTTATAAATATTCTTTTGATGACACTACTGTGTTAGACAGGGTTTTCTAGAGAAAAAAACCCAGGACACTTATGATATAGATAGAAAGATAGATAGATACAGCCCAAAGGAATATAACAGCTAATTAGCCCACACAGCAGTACAGAGGGCTCAGTTCAACTCACTTCCATGGAACAGTTATTATACTAGAAGCTCTTTAACTCACGAGGGCCACTGGGTCCAAGGTCAAGGAAGCAGACAGCTGAGGCTACTGTAGGGCAATGTAGCCACTGGCAGGTCACCAACAGTGAGCAAGAGGACAAGGCCTGACAGTCCCAAGCACCAGCAGTGTGGCAAAGGAAGTCTCGAAGGAACCTCAAGCAATAGCAACACGATCCACAAGTTGGCCAGAGAGCAAGAGAGAGAAGCTGGGCATGCCAAGCCATTTATCTCCTTGCCCTCCAATCAGCTGCAACCTTATTAATCCCACATGTTCTCATTGGCTGAGTTAGAACAATAAACCTACGTATCACAACTACCAAATACTATATGCATCAAAATTTATATTTCAAAATGAAAAAAATAATCTCTTGTGATCATTAAATTGTAAAAATTAAAAAAAACTATCTCCTGGATTGAGTAATCATTATAATTTATTAATGTACAACTGATCAAAATTTATTATAATATTTGAAAGAAAATTATGCAGAAAGGTTGAATTTTATTAAAAATGTGTCTCACCAGTACCATAAAAACTCATTGCCATCAAGTCAATTCCAACTTGTAGCAGCCTTTCAAAAGAGTAGAACTCTCCACTAGACAACCACAGTTCCCTTCCAGTGGGGTGGTTAGGGCTTTTGCTTTTCCTCTCAATTTCTCTTTCGTGGCTAAGTATTATTTACAATTAGTATTGGCCATGGGTTTGCATAATTTTAAAAAATTTATTCACATAAATAGGTAGATAGAAATGATACATTTGCTGTGGTAATGCTACCCAATTATGTGGGTTCTTTCCGAGTTAAATGCCAAAATCCACAATGTGATCTATTGGCTACCACCAGGCAGCCGTCTCCACATTGTCTACTCTGCCTCCTTGTCAACCCCGTGCTCTCCCCTAGCCACTACAGGATTGTGGAAGGAGAAGCTCTTCACTAGTATGGACCCAATGCTCCATTCCATATGCTCTCCTCAAACGGCCTACTTCCGTAAATTGTCCCGTTATTCAACTCCCTTTGATTGAGCAAATTTGGTTTTATCATGTGTTCCCTGATGGATTCCTGGCTGATAAAGTCTTTTCTTCCTAGATGCATTTCTGGGGAAATTATGAAAGAAACTCAGGTCATATCAAACCCAGTAGAATGGGTATGCAGCCTGGAAGTCTAGAAGCCTCAAAACTAGTTCATGTTCACTCATCTCAGGGGATTTCTTTGTGTGCTTTTGTGCAGTTAATGTCTTCAGTTTCTTTCTCACAACTGGTAAATATTGTACATGCGGCCGTTGGCAAGACCAGCCATTTTTCTGTGATGCACACACATGACGGCAGAGCAGACTGGTGGGTCCTGAGGCTGGGTTCTCTGGTTTCAATTACCAAGTAAAATCCTGATCCTCCTCAGCATGCGATCATAATCAAGTTCTGATTTCCGTGCTTGCTTTATAATTAGGAGCAAAGAGAAGCGTAAGGGTCAAGTTATGGATGAGAGTACACGGAGTTTCCCTGAGACTGAACGTCACGGTGTCAGGCTATCGGCCATTGTGGGAGGAGTGAAAAGGGAGGAGGGAAGGGAAGAGAGGCTGCTACTTTACAGCTTCCAGCAAATTTTCTTTCTCTAAACAGAAGCTTGCCTTCATCTTTCATAGGGGTCTTTTTCATTTCCCCTTTGTTTTTGGAGTAGTTATTCCAGGGGGGCTTTCAGTTACTCCGCTTTAACAACAATTTATCCAACTTTGAAAATAATTGGTAATAGGAAGAGGTGATCTTCTTTATATTAAAAAGGAAGTGCCTCATCTTCACACAAAATGCTGTCTCTTTGAGATTAATTTTTTTTTCTTTCAGAAAATTTCTTTCTCCACCTCTTCACACGGTGCTGTTCATTATTTGGCAGAAGTTTCTTCCTGTGGGGGGAGGGGGATGCTCCATTTCAGCTGAATGAAGGGGGGATGTGCCAAGTCGAGAGAGTTCCGTGGCACAGACTGGCGGTGGTTTTTGTGAGGTGCCACTGAGTCAGATCTGACACATAGCACAGTAGAATGCGACATCGATGGCCTTGTCCTCACAGTTGTTCCTGTGCCTGAGGCCACTGTGGCAGCCAC